ATTTATAACTGTTACACTATTTTCATGTATGTATTTTTACGTCCACTCTCTCTGTATGTTTTTTCTTTCTTAATAGATGTATTTATTATTCTGATGAGCCAGTTGGCTTAAAGAAATAAAGAAACTTGAACTTGAAACTTGAGACCTATTGTCGTTTGATAATTTTCAATCTGAAGTTGAAAATGATTACATGACAAATTATAATTTATTCATTTTCAACTTCAGATTGAAAATTAATAATCACACAACGTTGAAAAATTGGTCATAGTTACATGAAATACATCAATTTATAGAAAATGCATGAAGACATTTCGGGAAAAAAAACCATTTCATTTTTTTCCCCCATTTTTTATGTTGAATTTCAACATACATGTAGATGTGAAAGAACAAATTTGGTGGAATGGAAGAATAAGAATGGCTTTGAATGAAAACTTCGTGATAAATATGTGTTGTAGTAATAATATTTAAAATCTGAACAAGCTGTTAAAAATTCTATAAAATATTTTTGAGCATCCTATGTCATTAACTAGTATTTGATACTTGATGATGCTTGTTGAATATGAAAAAATTAATTAATTATTTTATACCTTCAATAGCTGAAGATACCCACTCATGCTGATGTTAATAATAACGATATCTAATAATAATATACTTAGAATATACGTCTTGATAAAATAAATCCCATATAGTTCTTCTCTAAATCAAAAGACCCGCGAAAAAATAATAGGACTCTTCTATTTAGCAATTCAAAATACGTGTATATTTAAAGACAAATATATTTTAAAATACATTTAAAAAACACATTATAAAATATGTTGCGATGTTTTTCGTTGGAAAGTTGTTCTGACAAAATTAAAGATGAAAAATCGTCCAGGAGATAGGGTTGTTGGTATCGAAAATGTATCGAGAAACAGCCCCAGTATCTGAAATGCAATGTGTTTTAGATATTTTTAAGAATTGTAGATATGTTTCCCTCAGAAAATATGAAATCCTGGAGCCTAGGCCTGTACTGGAATAAGCACTATTTGTTTTTCTCACTCCCGTCCTTTCTCTTGCCATTTCTACTTCTTTAATATAAATCATGAATACGAATCTTTTATCATAAAATTTATGGAACATAATAGATATTGCTATTTTACAAAATATACAGTAACCGTATTTTTCGTTAAAACAAATGATTAACAACAATTTTTTTGTCCATTTCCCCCCTGTGTTTTAATGGACTTGTGATTTTCTGTTCAAGCCTCCTCTTTTTTGTGAATTGGTCGCAGTGTTTTTATTCAGTTGTTTATTTTTTCTATAATAGTTATAAATATTATATTATCTCTGTTGGATTCCAAAAAAAGTAGGACCGGACTTTCACAATGAATCTCAATAGTCCACCCTCAATATAACACCGCGGCCGGTGGGGAAAAATTTCATTTGGTTTCACTAACTTTCAAGGACTTCGATGATTTAAATCTGATGATAACACATAAATACTGGAAGAAAGTGTATAAAATAGCTTAATTTTTTTTAATGTATAGTCACAATTAAATTATTTAGCATACCTTACCTAGTTAGGATATATAATATTTCCTTTTCTCAAGTTAAAATTATTTGACCAAGAAGTAGTGAAAACGCAGCATTTTATATAATTATCAATACAAAAGAAGAATTGAAACGGGACAGAAAGAATCTTTCTTCGTGTTTTTATCAAAAAGATGCTTTGTACATTAATAACTAGCTGTTGTAATGCCAATAATGAAAGCTACACTGTTTTCATTACTGAAAACTTCTGTTTGTAAACAAATTTGTGCAGAAAAAAATATGTACAGTTATTGTTACTATCATATTTCTTAATAATGAGAATAATTAGGGTTTTGTTAATTATTTTTTCCTGTCTAGATGACATACATGAGATACACGTTCATCCAGTGTTGTAATTTTGTTTTGTTTTCAATTGCATGTAAGGTTGTATTTGATTTTTTTTTTTAGACATGCGGATGAAATAGTTTTAAAATGTACTTTTCTCCTCTGAATTTTACAGGGAACTATTATATGATTTCGTTTCTTAATATAAATTTTCATTGCTACACACGATATGTTAAAAGAACATTTAAAGAAACGTAACTCTCGCATGATTGTTCATTTACAAATACTGCAAAAATATAGATGTATACTTCTAATTTCTTTATTAAATATATTTTATTATTAAATATAAATTACTTCAAAATTTGTGCGAGCCTTAATATGCTAAGATATTGTAATCTCAATATTAATAATGTTTCTACTTAATAAAATGAAAGACATTGTTTCGTTGCTTTTTTCCATTCTAGTGACATTTTTATTCTTGCGAAATTCTATTCATCGAATGCCAACGTAAATCAAGAAATATGAATCACTTAGTCTGAAAAAATCAAGTGATCGATGTTACATTTCCACCCAATATATGAAATTCCGTAACAATTCACCCGAGTTAAAAAATTATTAATTTTCTAAACAATGAATGTAATTGCAAAATATATTGGAAATAAAACGTTTTCGGGGTCATTAGTCCAATAGCGGTACCTGACCGTAACACGTTAGAAGTCATGCTTTATAATGGGTTTAACAAGTGCTTAGGATATTTATTACTTTTTGATTTTAATGGAGATTTATTTTTTAAGGTTACTGCTGGGAACTGGGTGGTGAATTCATGGCAGGGGAGTTTCTTCATCACGTTGATTTGGTCTTTCGTACTCTAGTTGTAAAAAGGGGAAGTTTAAGAATTAAATAATCGATACAGTACATGTATAATACGTATATTTTTGATTATTTGAGATAAAACTTTTGTAAGTAGTAAAAATTTTGTATTATCGGTAAAGTTTGCCTTTTGACTATAGATATTGAATGATTGACTTTTTGGTCGTCTCAGGTCACTATATGTGTGTAGTACTTGCTGTTTGAAATAAGATACATAATCCAATTAAGAGGAACTGTTCTAAATATTTTGTCAGTCAAACGAAATTGACTACACGTAAAATTTGTTGGCTCACCAACTTGATTATAAGATTTTTTTCTTTTTTCTTTCTTTCTTTTTTAATTCTTTCAAGAATAAAAAATAAATAAATATAAGGAGAATTTAAAAAAAAAATCCCGATCAATGTCGATTTTTACGACATTGCTTTTATTCTACATTATTGATTGATTGATTTATTTATTAGTTAATTAATTAATTAATTCAACCATACTTGCAACATGACATAGGACAATTTAGTAAGAATAAATATTTAACTTTGACAACCTGTACAAAATCTTTCCTTCTCCGTGAATTTGAGATTGATAATTTATTTTACGATGGGAGGGTTATAAGAATGACAACTTCTCTGAAAAAAAACTTTGACAAACAAAAAAAGGCAATTCTCCAAACTCCAAAATCCTATTTCGTGGGGGTGGGGTGGGATAGGTTCCTTCTTATTTCACAACCACATTTTTAGCTCTACTGGTCAGAGACCAGCGATATAGTAAGGTGTCCGTCGTCCGTCCGTCCGTCTGTCTGTCAGTCTATAAACATTTTTTTTTTTCAAAATGCTACCCCTCCTACAGTTTTGGTCTGATTTCAATATAATTTGGCACACAAGTATATTACACTAAGATACATAATTCTTTTTATCGGTTTTTGATTTCGATAAACGGTGTTGCCAAAGAAATTTCTGTGAAATACTTTTAATTCGCTACTCCTCCTGCAGTTTTGGTCTGATTTCAATCTAACTTGGCACACAAGTAGAGTACACTAAGATACAAAAATCTGTTTGTCGGTTTTTGATTTGCATGAACGGTGTTGCTATAGTTACTAAAAATAGAAATTTCTTTGAAATACTTTTGAAAACGCTACCCCTCCTACAGTTTTGATCTGATTTCAATATAACTTGGCAAACAAGTAGACTACGCTAAGATACATAATTCCGTTTATTTTTTTTTTTTATGGCACACAAAGAGATCATCACAGATACATAGTTGTCTTTATCGTTTTTTGATTCTGATGAACGATGTTGCCATGGTTACTAAAAATAGAAATTTCTGTAAATTTCTTTCATAATTTAAATGGCTACTCCCACAGTTTTAGTATGATTGCAATAAATCTTGCACAAAAAAGAGACTAAACCATGGATCATAAATTCTTAATATTCTATTTATTGCTGTTGCAAAGCTTCAAGTCCAAGTGCTACTTTTCTGTTTGTTAATTATAAGTATAAACCAGCAGAGTTACAGTCCCGTGAGATACTTCTGGTATTAATACGTACATTACAACATTATCATGATTTACTATACCGCAACATAAATTGGGCGGGGGTCAACCAGCTTTTCAAAGAACATTTTCAACAGTTAAAAGTTATGATATTGAAAAGGTGTGTGTGGGGGGGGGGGGGGGAGCTACGTGCCTGTTATTAATGCATACATATGTAGTAGATGTATTAATTATTTATAACCAATTTAATAATATATCAATTTGACCATATATATTAAACAGAAAAAATATTTTGTGACATTTTCACGTAATTCAAAAGCACATTGAAGTACTTAGATTACACAATTCCTTAAAATTCTTCACAATGAGCAGCTGAATTAACTTGAAAACTGAAGGTTTTTCCTCTCATTTTGACATCTAATATTACTAAAATGATGGGTTAGGCGGGTTAACAACTGGAGGAACAAACATAAATTAAAATTAATTTTTCGATTTTGCTGAGAATAGAAAAGTAAAAAGGCAAGAGTGTTATATAATAAGAAGGTCGCTTACCGATTTTTAAAATGCTCATTGGTGTTATGACGGTATTTTTTCAATATAACCAAGCAAGAAACTAAACAATTTGTATTCCTTTGACACACCCCATTTCAACTACACTCTAAATAAACAGGATATGATATTCTCACGCATTTTTAATACTGGAAGGATAAAAAAAATTAGTCCGTCTTCATCACTATATATATGAGAGCGAAATAAAGTCGGGCTCGTTATGCATGTTATCAACACCCTTCTAAAATTGAAAGTTGAGGAAGCGTGATTTCGCTATTTCACCATTTCGGATTTCAAATCGCCTGTTATTTTTAGTAAGTAATAAAATAATGAGGGTAAATATTTGATCAATTTTGTGAAACACACTTTGGCTGCATATATAATAACCTAGTAATCTAAACATGCATCTTAGTAGATTTTGAGATAGGTAATTACATCGTTCCTTAGAAACGTGAAGTCCTTCAGTTTTATAGATCCTTGATTGTACGTCATCATTAAAGTAAATAGCCGACTTACATCAGATAACTTGTTCTATGACTGAATCACACGTGGCTGTCTTTCAGTGGCTCTTGTTACGCTTATAGTATGTTTATTCCAAAGAAGCAGAGACTGGAAGAGTACAACTGCATTTCTTCGGGGGTATTGATTAGACACATAAGTAACATGCCTTTGGTTAAAGTTGTAATGTGTTGAACAAATCTAATATTTTTTAAGCTGTTTAAAAGGGGGAACAGTGGTTATTCTTTAGTACTTAAATCAAGCAATCTTGAAAATTGAACGTTGCATCAGTCATCAGGTTAACCATCACATCATATGAACATCTGTTCCATGAAGTTATTTGCTTTATGCATGCATCATCATTTTGAAATTTAAAGTTAAAAACATATTCATGAATCAAAAATTTTGTATTCAATGTGCATTGCAGAAAAAGTGAAACATGTCTCAGCCAGGCTTAATTGGAATGGGTGTGGCCATTGGGATGGCAGCACTCTTTGTCAACTTCTCAATCCACAAAATTGAGGAGGGTAAGTACAATTTTTATTTGTTTTACAACCTTGTTTTTTTACCCCCTTTTTGACATTTTATTGTTCCCTGCTTTCTCAAAAGTGAGAGGACATTAAATCTCATTCATCTGTTAGTCCATCTGTCTGTTAGTCTGTCATAAAAACTTTAACATCTTTGGTCATAACTTTTGAATGAGGAAAGATAGGGCTTTCATATTTCACATGTACAATACCTAAGATAAGACCTTTGCAAGTATACTATGATTTTTGACCCTGTGACCTAGAAGTTTGAACTACTTTTCCACAATTTTAACATTACTTTTACCTTGGTCATAACTTCTGAATGAGAAGAGGTAGGATGTCATATTTCACATGTGCATTACCTGTGACAAGTCCTTTTCAAATATATTTTGATTTTTGACATCCTGGTCTTGACCTTGAAGTTTGACCTACTTTTCAAAAATTTATACATTGTTTATAACTCATGATTGAGAGAAGATAAAGCATTCATATTTAACATGTGCATTACCTGTGACAAATCATTTCTGATCATGCTATAATATTTGACTCTGTGAATTTGACCTTGAAGTCTGGGGTAATTTTTGAAAATTTTAATATTGGTGATAACTTTTGAATGAGACAAGACAAGGGATATGTTACTTGTGAAAAGAAATTTCTGAATGTGATATGATAATTGACTCCAGGACCTTGAACTTTAAGATTGACCTAATTTAAAAAAAAAAAAAATCATTGCTGCTAACTTCTGAAGGAGAGAAGATAGGGCATTCATATTTGACATGTGCATTACCTGTGACAAGATGTTTCCAAATGTGTATGTAGTGATTTTTAACCCCATGACCTTAACCTTGAAGTTTGACCTAATTTTCAAAAAAAAAAAATTACATGCAGATAACTTTTGAATGAGAGAAGATAGGACATTTATATTTGACAAGTGCATTGCCTGTGTCAAGACCACCTTTCAGAATGTTTCTGGTTTTTGATCTCTTGACCTTATAGTTTAACAGTCTTTTTCATTTTATTTTTATTTTTTTTAATTTTTTTTTTTTTTTACATTGGTAATACTTTTGAATAAGTAATACTTTTGAATAAGAAGAAGATATGGCTTTCATATTTTACATTACATTACCAATGACAACACATTTTAGAAAGGTATATCATTTTGAACTTCGGTCATGACCTTCACCTTGAAGTTTGAAGGACACACAAACAAGACGTTTATTACAATATGCATGAATAACTGCATCCCAACCACTATGACACCAAAAGCGGGAGATCACAATTCTTTGAATTAATTTGCTTGTCTTATCATGTTTATGTAAGTGTATTATTTATATGTTGAATTTGATTTATACCTTTATAACAAGTAAATTAAAATATACTACAATCATTTGCAGGTCATGTTGGTGTTTATTACAGAGTAAGTGATTTTTTTTCTTGTATAACATTATTCAAATTGTTTGGTAAACTTAAAGGCAATTTAAAAAGTATACAAGATTCATACAGAAATAAAATTGATAACCTCTAAAGTTACAAGTTGCATTTATTTTCAGTTGTTTGCGCATATATATAAGAAAATAAAAGTAATTTTCACTTTTTAGGGTGGAGCTTTACTTTCTTCAACAAGTAATCCAGGATACCACTTTATGATTCCATTTATAACAAGCTTCAGATCAGTACAGGTGAGCTGAAAATTTCTTGTCAAATACAGATTTTTTGGGGAGAGGGGGGTCATTAAATAATTTGAATTTACGAACTTTCTTTTTTTTTAAGGAGGTGGGTTGAAGGATGTTTAAATGCATATGTACATACCAATACATTTCAATTTAATATCTGTAATGGCAGGGAAAATTTGATATTATATAAAAGTATACTGCCTAAACTATACTAGTTAAAAGAATTTTGCTCAGTCATACAATTCTTTGTCATATAATTATGTGTATGTTAAGTATTAATAAAAAATAATATTGATAATGAAGTGTGTTACATTGAGTTCGTTTGAATATTTTGATTGTAATTGCAAATTAACTTCACTCATTGTTGTTGCAGACAACTTTACAGACAGATGAAGTAAAGAATGTACCTTGTGGAACCAGGTAATAATTTGTTGTGTTCTACATCTACATACATCTATATTTTACAACGTTCCAACAAACTTGATTATACGCTGGCGCTGCACAAACAGATCACTGCTGGTCCGTTCACATTTGCATAACAGAGCATGCATGGGAACAAATTTTATTTGAACCTGGTAGAATATTTGCACTGTACTTGATAAACTTTGAGAGAAGGTGAGACAAACAAGGCTCTTTCATCCTTCAGCCTGAACAGGCAGTTGAACTTCAGTATCTTGAACACTGATATCTCGAATTCCATGGATATGTCATACTGATTTGGAAGTCCCAAATGCTTCTTCCTTAAGTATTATACCCTGGGTATCTCGAAACCTGGGATAGCTCAAAGTATTTTCTCAATCCCATTTAGTTCAAGATAACAAGGTTTTACTGTATATCAAATCTTGACATATTTTTTAAGGCAAAGAGCATGTGCTTTTTGTGTACAACCAGAGTGTTGATATTGTTACTGTATGATATAAACATGTAGAACATCAGATGAGATGCACAATGTCATATTGGTTAATTAACTTGATATACATGTAACTTCTATTTTATTAAATAAAAATGTTTCAGAGTATATTAGAAAATGTAGAAAGAGTCAATCTTCATGAAGCAATTAACATTCTTCATTGTTAATCCATTCATTAATTTTCAACATGTTCAAATTTAATTATCTTTTAACAAAAGTGAAATGGTCTGATACTTTGATACATTGACACAGAAAAGTATTTTATTCCTTCTTTACCAAATGAAGTTACAAAGATCTTGAGAATTGAAAAATATAAAACCTCAAGTCACATGGGAAAATGAGAAATGTAGAAATGTTTTGTTGATACGCTGTAGATGCAGACATTTTCCTGATGATAAAATTTTGTAAATTTGTGATCTAAAATGATTTTCATTGTTTAGAAAAATAACCATATAGAAATGTACTTCTGGAAAAAAAGGGATTTAATTTATCTTGATAATTATTTGGTTATCCTGAGGAATGTTTCTTTAATTTGATATATTTACATTAATTTTTTTTTTTTTTTTTTTTTTTTTTTTTTTTTTTTTTTACAAAATAATGCAATTATATGAATTTGATTTCAGTGCCATTTTCACGTGTAGAATATAAACTCATGCTTCAAGAAATATGCCTATGGTGTCAAGTCTGTGTGATTTACACACCAATAACACTCACAAAACTAAAAAAAAACTTTCCTTAATTAAAATGAACTTGACAGATAAAAGTATTGCAAGGTGACTAGTTCTGCATTTCTACATTTAACTGTTTTTTTTCATTTCAGTGGTGGAGTAATGATTTACTTTGATCGAGTGGAAGTGGTGAACAAACTAGATTCCTATGCTGTGTATGACATGGTCCGTAATTATACTGCAGACTATGATAAGACTCTGATCTACAACAAGATCCACCATGAACTGAACCAGTTCTGTAGTGTTCACAATCTACAGGAAGTCTACATAGACCTTTTTGGTAAATTAATATTTCATGTATAAATTCTAAAAAAAAAAACCTACACTCATCTTTGTGATCGTCAACTCTGTAAAAAGTTCCAATGAAATATGTCACCTATTCATCAAAAAAGACGTTGGAATACTCTGAACAGGGACCTGTATACTAACATAATATACTTAGTATATAGGTCCCTGCTCTGAAAAGACTTTGCCATTCTAACAGTGTAATTACTAGTAAGTTTTTCTCTCTTTCCAAAATAAATTGTCACAATGACCAAATGATGATATATTGTATTTACATTTACTCAGTGGATTGCTATGTCATATACATGTGTGTTTATGTGATATTGTATACACCACATCAGTCCCAGTGAAATAAGTGTTCAAAATTTCCATTCTTGCCATAAAACTCATTAACAAAAAATCAGTTGTTAGGCCATATTATTTACACACTGAATTGTCGACGGATTTTTCCGTTATTTCCCGATCATGACAAGGAGCACACGGCGGGTGTGACCGGTCGGCAGGGGATGCTCACTCCTCCATGGCACCTGATCCCACCTCTGATGTTTGGAGGTCCGTGTTTGCTCTGCTCCTATTTTGTATTGATTATGGACTTTTGAGCTTGAATACTGTTCGTTATCTCCATATATTTCATTGCATGAAAGGAGATTTTCTAATACAAAATAAGTGTAAGCTGGAATATGTTGTATTTTAATAGAGAACCAGATAAGCTAATTTATGTACTGTGTACACAGTAAAGTTAAGGTGGGGATGGGGATAGGTAGAGGAAATAATTCTTAAGCATATTTGAAACCCTCTGAATCTCAAAATTTATGAATAATATTTTCATTCAAATGTGTATCGTGACCTATTGATCTCGGTCTTACAAACTTTACAGTTGAATGATACCTGTTTTGAATTCAATGATCTTTGGTTGTTACAGATCAAATAGATGAAAATCTCAGAACAGCTTTACAGAAGGACCTGACCACCATGGCCCCTGGTCTACACGTACAAGCTGTCAGAGTCACAAAGCCAAAGATCCCAGAAGTCATCAGAAAGAATTACGAGGCCATGTAAGCTACTTAGAATTGTTTTAAGTAAGGTTTTAAGTATCAGTAGTACAGAAAGGTCTTATCAGTGCTTGACTCCGTGATAGGGGACTATTATTCAACAATTACTAATAAGGTGCTTAATGTTTTTTTTAGTTGTGTACATGATCACCTTTCTTCATTTTGCTGCCTTGACAGAGTAACTAGTGTTCATGATTATTTTTGCTCCATAGAATCCTCTGTTCATCCAATATTACATAGGTTGTTCTAGATGACTGCAACAAAATCTACCAATCACATATTAGTTTTTGTCATAAGTGTATCAAGTCTTAATAGGTTAACTTTTATTACTTGAATAGACTTGTAATATTTTTTTTGGTGTGTTTATTTAGTATAGGCATTATTTACACTCTATTTTTATCAATTTTCTGTTTTTTAATTAATGCTTGTAAAACAGGGAAGCAGAGAAGACAAAACTGTTAATATCTATACAGAAGCAAAAAGTTATAGAGAAGGAGGCAGAAACTGAGAGAAAAAAGGCTGTGATAGGTCAGTGTAAAACTTTAATTTTCATGATCATTAGAGGTTCGTATCAACTCAGTTACTGGAAATAATTTCCATATTACGTAAGATTTTATTTCAAAAAAGAGAAATACACACCGGCAAAATTTTCAAGTAAGAACAATGCTGAAGTAAACAGTTAATAAGAGGCATGAAATTGGTCTTAATATATAAAAGTTATCATGAATTATTCACAGAGGCAGAGAAGAAAGCACAAGTGTCCAAAATAGAATGGGAACAAAAAATCACTGAAAAGGAATCACAGAAGAGGATTTCTCAGATTGAAGGTAATGCGTGAATTAGTTTTACATTGTAGATAGCAAATTGTAAATTTATATTTTCATATCTTCTTCAGGAAATATTATTTCTATTGTTTAAAACGAAATACTTTAATTTGGACTTTGTTCAATTTGGACCATGGCATAAGGTCCCAAAACTATATTATTGTGACCATACCTAAAATATCTTGAGACCTCATGCAATATTTGTATGTTTAGATGATACCCATGTTGCAAAAGAGAAGGCAAAAGCAGATGCAGAATTTTATAAAGTTCAGAAGGAGATAGAAGCTAATGCAGTATGTATTGAAACTATTTATTTCATGTATACTTTGATAATCTACATGTATAAGCAGAATTTTTAGTGAGGATCCAATTTTGGCACTATTAGCAAGGGTTTTGAAATCGCTAAAATTGAACATTGCTAACAATTTATTAAATATTAATGGTTTACAATTTATTAAATATTGGTTTGATATAGATATTTTTCTTGACATCATAAAATCGCTAAAGTTATTTCTCGCTAAAAATATTTTAATAAATTGCTAAATTTGCATCTCACTAAAAATTCCACTTATAGGGTGTATAGACGAAGATTTCCTTCAATTCTCTGATACTTTAAACAGTTCTCATTCTACTTTTACAGAAAAAACTGTCCAAGGAATATTTGGAATACACAAGATATCAATCCATTGCACAAAACACCAAGATATACTTTGGTAACAGCATTCCTGACATGTTCATGGATCCAGTGATGTCTGCTGCTGCAGCCTCAGTCCAGGAGCAGAAGTCTACGACAGATTCAAAGGAGCCAAAGAAGGTGGGTACAAATTGAATCCATTCTCAAACCAAAGAAACTTGTACATATATTCCCTGTACATAATGGCAGAGAGATCAAAGTCTAGTTGAATGTTTATCTCTTAAAAGCAAAGCTTTAGTAAACCATATGCAGTTGAGCCAAGCATTTATGTATGTTCCGTAGTCAAATGTAGACAATGTATATTTATAATTTTTTTTAATTGTATAATGACAAAAGTCAGTGTTCAGATAGATGATGAACATACTATTTCTATAATGTATAAAAGATGTTGAAATATTTGGAATTTGTTTCAGTGAACTTCAGTTAAGGACGTTCGATCCTGAGCTTTTGAGCAGATTTTGGTCTGGAGCTTTATTTCTAAAATTCTACATTATTTTTAAGTTCTAACATTAAATCTGGATTCTACAATGCAAATTATACTACATCCAATGAAAAAAAGCGATTAAATTCCATTCAAATAGGATTAAGCCAGGAACTATATTTTGTGGCGGAAGATTTTTTTTTAGAAGAAAATGATCATTTTTTCCCTTTTGAAATATATACAGTACTGTTAAGTTTAGATTCCTATTTTTCCATGCTGGTTGCACACAGAGCTATTTTGTGCATTGAAATGTTTAATGCTGGTTCTAAAATATTAATTAAATCAGTTTTTGTGAATTCTATCATCATATTGTGACAAATATAGAAAATATATTCTGAAACTCCAGGAAAAAATTGAGCCAATTTTATCACAAAATTAGCAGTTTTTTAGTAATATCTAAAAAATAACATCATAGACCTCCACTTTTGATTTTCTTTTCTGAATATATAATATAACTCTGATCAATCTACTTAAATTCAGCAAAAGTTTAAGACTTTGAAATATTTTTCTTGCTTGTTAAATTTTTAATGCCCGAAAAATGACATTTTGTGAGTGCAGAAAGGTCAAATAATTGATTATGCGAAGCAATTTGAAAATTTTTCTTTGTCACAATTTTAATGTGTCTTTTTTAAAAGAGAATAATAGCATACTTTGTCCCATGATTTATTTGGATAAAAAATATTGGAGGGAAAACGTCGAAGATGTTATTTTTGATTAAGACACAAATTCAGTGCAAAAAGGTCATTTTAAATGTACTGTAGCGCCAAAAGAAGCATATTGACCCCCATTTTTTGTTTTGATTTTTAATTTAGCTATGTGTGTACAAGCTAAAAATATACTTGACAAAAAAAGTTTAAGACTTTAAATATCAGGATCCAACGTCGTTAAAATCAATGAAAATTTAAGTGAAAAATTTGAATGAGAATTATTTGAAATATGTCTTTATTTGATTTTTTTTTTTCAGAAGGCATAATTTGAACAATACCAGTATTATTGGCAGCATCGGGTTGTCTGTGATAAATTTTTCAGGAATAAGTTTTATCAACAAGTCAGAATTTACTTCATTTTGCTTTCTACGTGAAGGCCAGCAGACTTTTCCACTGGATTGTTTTGTTGAATACTTATGTTGAAAGAATCCATCTTTAGAAAATAGCTGAAGAAAAGAAGTTAGGATAGTTTTTGAAGTAGAGAATTTATATAATCATTACCTTGTAGTTGGATAATACTTTACAGTTCACTGAAGGTAACCCTTGCATTTTTTTTTTCTCAACAATGTTATTTCATTGAAAACTTGTATACTGCAGATGCTGTGTATAGTTGATTTATTAAGATTGAAAGTATAAAGATAACAACAGATATTAATGAATGAACTACTGGAGTGTGTTAATTAAATTTTTGGTGGGAAAATTGTCTTTGTTGCTTGAATTCAGCTGTCATATTGGTAGATTTCATCATCTTTGTATATACTGTATACAGGGAATTTTTTGCCCCCATTTTATTTACTCCCCTTTTGCCCTCATGGCAATTTAAAACAGGGCAAATTCAATTTAAAATGCATTATCTCTTTAACACAACAGTGTCTTGGCAAAATTAAAATGAAGCGAAATTGTTTGAAAGTGTGAAAGTTTGAAAATAACCCTGTATACAATAGTTATATTTAATTGTATGTATCCATATCAAGTATCAACATATTACTATCATTAGTAAAATATCTTTTATGATAGATCTATTAATTTGATATAATTCTAATGTTTATAATTGATTATTGATCCTCATTTGTATTCAAATTCTCAGTGTATCATGTTGGATGCAATATATATCGTTGCCATACTTATTCTATTATCTATATTAACATATTTCTCTTTTACAACAGGGGAATAATTTTTCAGTTATTAATCATTTGGACCTATATTTTAAAGAAAAATGAATGAATGAATGTAGCTTTTACAAAAAGCTGGTGTACTTCTCAAGAAAAAGCTTAAAAAGTAAGATAACTAAAATATATACATTTAGTAAAAACAAGAATGGGCCAACTATTCATTCATTTCTTTGTGCTTTTTATGACTGCTTAGTGCTTATGTCAGAAGCAAGTGAATTCTTTGCTTTTCAGTACAATTTTGTTAAGATAATTTTCATGGTTTTTCCTTTTATTTTTCTTTTTCTTCCATTAATTCATGTATGTACGTATTTCTAATAATAGATAGTTTTTAGTGTGTTAATTTGTAGAATTATCATCACAGATAGAAGAGAGGTACATGTAGTTACATGTACCCAGTATGTGAAAATGATTTATGGGTGTGGCATTCAAATGGATTTGTCTGAATTTAGGTGTATTTATTTTAAAATAGCTTTGTAAATGTCATATTTATAAAAGAAAAATGTTGTTTGTTACAGCTACATGTATATGTGCTATATGTTTAACATGTTTAATGGAAGACTAATTTTTACCCCACCATAATCTTTGTTTTAAGTTTCAAAGTAAGTCTTAACTTTTGAAGCAGATCGAGTCAATTTTCACCTGAAGCTTCATTTGTTGATTGATAAGTCTACAGTTATTGTTCATTTATTTTTTTAATTGGATTGTGTGGTGATTAAAGTCTTCTAACCTTTACATGTATTTAACATTATTCCAGATTTTTTGTAATGTGCTCAATTTGATCTTCAAGTGCAATTAAACTTGTACATGTACTACAAAAATAAAGTCATTTATAATTTGTGAGATTCAAAAAGTAGTTGTTATGTTTAGTAACATACTAGACGAAAACTTTATAATTTACAAGAGTTGTCCTTATGAGGCATTTGATACAAGATTGAGGTTCATTGATACTCTGATAAGAACAGTAACTCTTACTGGGATTAAATATTATTACTTTATAAACTTATCAAGTTAAAAGGCAATTTCTTTCAAATTTTGCCTTGCAAGGTATACTGAAATTGTGTGCACCTTGATTATCAATAAGACCGTAAGCATTAAAGCAATATTTTATATGAGTGAGCAGAGGAATGATGAATTTAAAACCCCACTCTCCAGAATCGCCTTCTGATGATAAACAAATATGTAAATAAATGAAACCAACTACTGTGACCCCAAACTAAATCAAAATGCCTCAATTTATTTAAATACATGCAATTTCAATTTATTAACTTACATAAATCTTAAAAATGTTTTATTTGCATTCTGTTCACTGTAATTAGCAATATCATTTCCAAAACAAAACAAAACAAAAAAAAACCACCCTGACTTTCTTTATATGAATGATTAAATTAGCTAATCTGTTCATAGAATCTGTGTCCCCCGCTTAAGGAAAAAAAGGGGTGGAAGAACTGAAAAAATATGCAGATGGAGAAAGAAAAAAAGGTCAGTCTTAACCTCTCAGCTATTGGTCTTTAAGATAAGAATTTTTCACCTTGAACCTATGATCTAAAAATTAAAAAGGGATATTCTGTATGTCATTGGGAGTTATGATATAAAATTTCATAGAAGAAGCCCCAAGAAAACTTAGTTATCATCTGGAAACTTTTTTTGGATTATATGAATTATTGACTTTGACCTGGCCTATAAATACAACGATAAACGTGGAGTTACCATTTCATAGAAAGCTCGAATATCATGCTCGCAGTTTTTGGAGGAATAAATTTCCGTTTTATTCTTTCTTTGTGTTCTTTATGCTTATACTTGTACTAATGAAAAAAAAAAACTCCTCAGAAAATATTAACAACATATGAGGCGTTTCACATGAGAAGAGCGTGCTAAAGTATTCAGTATGATGTCTGCAGGGTTTCCTTTGTTAAGGTTTGCAAAACAACAACAAAACAAGATGTGTTTGTGAAACTTATAGCAAAGGTTAAACTTTCTCAAAACAAATCAAATATGTTAATACCCAAAGTAAGGTCTTGTCTTGAGGGATATACCTGCGAAATATGAAAGCCCTAGCAGCAACGATTGAATAGATATGGAAAAGATTAAAAATTTTCAAAAGAAAGTCAAACATCAAGGTCAAATGGTCAAAATTAATGGTGTCCAAGGAAAGGCCTTCTCCCAAGAAATACACTGGTGAAATATGAAAGCCGAAGCACCAAGCATTCAAAAGTTATAACCTAGGTTAGAGTTTTTCAAAAGTAGGTAAAACTCCTAAGTCGAGGTCAATGGATTACAATTGTTGATATCCAAAGAAAGGTCTTGTCACAAGGATTACATATGTGAAGTATGAAAGCCCTAGCACCAACCGTTCAAAAGTTATGGCCAAGGTTAAAGTTTTCCAAAAGTAGGTTAAACTCCAAGGTCAAAGGGTCAAAGTTGTTGGTATCCAAAGGAAGACCTTGTCAGAAGGATTACACATGTGTAATATGAAAGCCCTATCACCAACCGTTCAAAAGTTATGACCAAGGTTAAAGTTTTCCAAAAGTAGGTCAAACTCCAAGGTCAAAGGGTCAAAGTTGTTGGTATCTAAAGAAAGGTCTTGTCACAAGGATTACATATGTGAAGTATGAAAGCCCTATCGCCAGTTGTTCAAAAGTTATGGCCAAGGTTAAAGTTCGGTAAAATTTTGCAAAACTGAGTCAAACTCCAAGGTCAAAAGGTCAAATTTGGTGATACCCAAAGAAAGGTCTTGTCACAAGGAATACACTTGTGGAAAATGAAAGCCATAGCTTAAACCAATCAAAAGAAATGGGCAAGGTTAAAGTTTCTGCGGACAAACAAACAGACAGATAGACAGACAGACGAACGGACAGGACAAAAACTATATACCCCCGAATCTTCTATAAAAATTTCTACCCACTCTTTGTATAGAGCCGGTAGAAAGGATAACTGCACTTAACACTGGGTTTTGGGTCTTTTTCCGTCGCTTCTGCTGCTTTTATATCTTAACCTTATTTCACTTTTGTATATTACCTATGGAATTCTATCAATTTGGCACCAAATTTAAATGTTAAAATTATTTTTGACTGTGATACAATAGAATAATTCTATGTTTTTTGTCCCTACTCTTTTCCAAATACAGAGATTTTACACTTACCTGCCCTTGATTAAACATTAGGTATGCATGAGAGGTGGAGCTAATATTGTAAGAATGACTCTAAAATTACACTAGATAAATAACAATGACATGTATTGAAATACGTGATCACTCTTTCCCATCTCTCTCTTTATCGTGTATGGGACAAGTACACTACTATATACATTGTAGTATTTACAAAGGTTTCAGAACGAAATTAACAATATGAGCACGTACATGTAAGTATAGAATATTTTGAATCGATGCCTGACAATTCAACGTGTTCGAGAAGAGTGTCCTAGTTAGCACAAAACATGCCATCTTACAAGTCACGTGACGGAATTTAGTATTCACAGAGTTACCTGAGGTAGGACATCACGTGGTGAATTATAATATTCAACATGCCATAACCCCTTGGTTACAACAGTGAGAGCGAACGTAAGAAGAAGCAGTTTTTTCTCTTTTAAACCATGAGCGCATGTTTGTCTATTAATCTCCTTTTGACACAATATTATTAATGCAAATATACAACTACTGTTAAACGGAGAACAATAGACAACATGCGCTGACTATGTACAAAATCAGTGAAAAAGTGGGCGTCCTCATTATCGTACGGAGATTGAAGATATTGTGATGACCCCCACCTTTGAAAACAGCCTCGTACTTCGTAAATACATACTTTTATTTAATGAAATTACGTAAAGTTGTAGAGTACATATTGACCATTCTTGCAATTAAAAGAAAAATGCTTGTTTTGAAAGTTTATTTTGTCGCAATTTTCGCATGTCCTTAAGTGCAGTCATCCTTTTTATAAAATGTTTGCTTTGGGTAATTTTTCGAATTTATGGTATGCAAATATGACAATGAAAGATAATTTATGAGAAAAAAAGTCGCCACGGCCCGGGAATCTATATTGGACGGGGTAGGTGGGTCCTGTCCCCAAGCCCCTGTGGGATCCAGAGGGGAATGGCTTATCTGTACCTAATCGTATCGACTTATAATCATTAATTATTAATCTTAAGATTGGATAGCCATTTCTAATCAACCCTAATGCTCTTCTCGATATTCATTACTTCTAAGCTTTTTAGTA